AAAGGGTACATATGAGCAGATGAGTTTCTTAGGGCATGGTCCAGAGGTCTCAGATGCCTCTATGGAATTGTGCACTGCCCTGTGTACTTGTGCATCACTGTATTCACTGTCCCCACAGACCCTCTCTGAAATCAGTTTCTGTTATTTCCAGAGATCCCATTATGTACCAATGCTGGATTAAATCATTGGCTACCAATAAACCTCTTCTTCCTAAAAGCCAGGATGAGGCTGGTTCTTCTGGCAGCCATGTCCCAAATCATGCTATGTGGAAACATACCATTAATTACCTCATTAGGAAACAGGTATGAAAGGGGCTTATGAGTAACAAAAGATGATATGTTCAGACCAACTTGCGAAGTTCCAAATGTTGTAGAAGCTTTTTATACAGAGCATTTTATTTTTAGTATTTATTTTGTGGTGCTGAGGATTGAAACTGGGAACTCTACCACTGAGCTACACTACCACTAGCTTTTTAATTTTGAGGCAGTCTCACTAAATTGTCCATATTGGCCACAAAGTTATGATCTTCCTGCTTCAACCTGGAATTACAGATGTGTACCTAGGCTGGCCTTGAACCTATGACTGCCTGCCTCAGCCTCCCAAGGGCTAGGATTATAGACATACACCACCACACCCAGCCTCCAGATATATTTCTTATTGTCACTGGCTGTCATGAATCCCCACTGTAAAGGTAATGTAAATTAAAATTGCAGCAACAGTTTGAGTTTACAGGGGAAAAAGCTTTAGTAAAAATAAAGGGGAACACTGCTCTGACAAAGCAAGTTTCCTAGTAATGATAAATAGGAGATAAGGCTTCATAGAAACTGATGGGGATACAGGTCTGATGAGGTGGGTCACAGTGTCCTATTCACAAAAGAACAATTTTATAGGGCACTCACTGTGGTGGGATGGGGCCTGGTCCCTATCTCAGTCCTGAACTAGCTCTAGAGGAATCCTCATGACTTAAGGGACACGTTAGTTCCCATGAGATGAATGTTTCTGGGAGAGTATCTGTCACGTAAGGCTCTTCTACAATCCAAGGCAATCGTGGGTTTAGGATAAGGAGATTTCTGGCCATAGCTAAATGTGCTTGTAAATCTCTTCTGGTATATTCAGTCTTAAAGATACGAGGGAGGATATGTAAATTTAGGGTTAGCATACCTCGTTTTGCCAGTGCTTAGGTAGATTTCCTAAATGGCTAACATCACTACAAGCCGAACTGAGGAGGAGGATATGACCCGGAATTTTACATAGTGTTGATCAAGCTTTTTTTTTTTTTTAAACATTTATTTATTTATTGTGTGTGTGTGTGTGTGTGTGGCCAGCTCAGCCCACCAGGGGGTGGGGCTGGCTGGCATATGGTGCTGGGGGATCGAACCGCGGTCCCTGTGCTTTGCCAAGCTTGTTCCAAGTAGGTGCTTTAGACCACTGAGCCATCTCTCCAGCCCCTGATCAAGCTTTATTCTCTTAGCTACCTAGTGGACTTCTATTGGCTCAAGAGAAGAGTTACTATTTGGGGCAAAATCCACTTTTAAATTCCTGACTGCTTCATAAGAAAATACAAATCATGCTTTTAATAAGTAATAGATTAAGGACCAAGGCCTTTACCATTACGTTGTTCTTTGATTCAGCAATATAGCTTTGCCAGAAATCCATATACTTGGTCTTATGGGTTGGATTGAGTCTCTTGCCCTAAAGCTGTACGTGCTCAGAGGTTGGGATTGATGAAGGTGTTTGGGTCATAGGAATGCTGTTCTCATAGTGGATTCATCCACCAGTGAGTTAAGTGGCTGAGTGTTACTGGGAAGTGGGGGCTGGTCAGAAGAGGTCACTGGAGGCATGACCTGGAAGGGTGTACCTTTTCCCAGTCTTTTCTTCTGGCTGCCATGGTGTGAGTAGTTTTGCCTGCACTATGCCCCTCTCTTACGTTGTTTTCTGCCTTGGAGCCATAGTTAGAGGACTGTATTCACGAACCAAAAGCAAACCTAAGTTTTGGGTGGTAGGGGCTGGCGAGATAGCTCAGTGGGCTAAGCACCTGCTTGGCAAGCATAGGGACTAGGGTTGGCTCCCCAGTCCTGCATGCCATGTTGGTCCTGCCCCCAGGACACACTGAGCTAGTAACAGAGTCTGGGTGTGGTGGCACACGCCTGTAATCCCAGCACTGGGCAAGTTGAAAACAGGGTCACTATGAGTGTGAGCTGCGTAGTGAGACCCTGTACCAAATGCATTAAATAAATAAATAAATTAGAAACAGGAATTTTTTTCACTGTTCTGGAGGGGGGAGTCCAAGATCAAGGTGCCGCAATATTCAAGAGTCTGGGGAGGGCCTGATTCCTGATTCAGAGATTGTAGTTTCTTGCTACGTCCTCATACAATGGAAGACACAGCATGGCTATCTAAGGTCTTTGTTTAAAATAAGAGAATCCTATTAAAAAGGGCAGGGTCTCCTAGATCACCTCCAATAGGCCCTGTCTCCTAATATTGTCACATTAATGATTAGGTTTTTTATTTATGTATGTATGTATGTATGTATGTATGTATGTGTGTGTGTGGCCAGCTCAGCCCACCAGGGGGCGGGGCTGGCTGGCATGTGGTGCTGGGGGATTGAACTGCGGTCCCTGTGCTTTGCTAAGCTTTTTCTAAGTAGGTGCTTTAGACCACTGAGCCATCTCACCAGCCCAATGATTAGGTTTTTAACACATGAACATTCAGACCATGTCAGTGTGTATATGTTTGTGACTGTTATTTCCTCTTGGCAAATTAGCTTTTCTGTTGATATATTAGGTGTTTATCTCTTGTAACAGTTTTGGCCTAAATTCTATTTTGTCTTATTAGTGTAGACACCACAGCGCTCTTTTTGTTATAGTTTGCACGGACTGTCTTTGTCTATCCTTTCACTTTCAACCTCTGTGGTTTTAGATCTAAACTAGAGAAGTGAGTTTTGTAGTGTCAGCATATAATGGGATCATTTAAAAAATTATTCTGGGGGCCAGGGAGATGGCTCAGTGGAATAAGTGCTTCCCTGACAAGCGCAAGGGCCTGAGTTCAATCCCCAGTTCCACAAAATAAAATAAATAAATAAATAAATAAATAAATAAATAAATAAATAAAATAATCATTCTGGCTGGAGATATAGCTCAATGGTGCCAGGACCTGCTTGGCAAGTGCAAGGTCATGAGTTCAATTCCTAGTACCCCCCCAAATCTATTCTAATCTTTGCCTTTTTTTTTTTTTTTTTTTTCGGAACTGGGGATTGAACTCAGGCCCTTGTGCTTGCCAGGCAGGTACTTATTCTCCTGAGCTATCTCCCCTGCTCCTGATCTTTGCCTTTTGACTGCAGTGTTTTGGTTTTTTTGTTTTTGTTTTTTTACATTTGAAATAATTACTGATAAAGAAGAACTTATTTCTGCCATTTGCTGTTTGTTTTCTGTTTACCACAGCTATTTTTTTTCAGTCCCTCCTCTGCAGCTTACCTTTTATTTGATCATTTTGGTTGCTTCTTTATTTTTCTGTATAATATTTAAGTTTTCTTTTTAATGGTTACCATGAGGATTGCAATTAATATCTTAAATTTATAACACTCTGGTTTGAATTAATACCAAATGCTATGGCTTAGATATGGTTGAAGTATATCCTTTGTCAAATGTTCATGTGTTGGCAGCTTATGACACATTGCCAGTCTGCCAGTGGGGGAGTGGTGAATCTTGAAGAGGTAATTAGGTATAGCATTCAATGAGTCAGCCCAAGGCTTTGTTGGCTGTGGTGGAAAAGCACACAGGTTGGTGAGTATGACATGGCACCAGGCAGTCTCGTTGGCAAGAGTGAGGATGGACCTGGGCAGCCTTCACAGAGGTTCCTTCAGGACAGTGTGGACATTTCCAGAAGAATGAATGCTACACCTGCTGCTTGTGAGTTTGTCTCGGGGCCATGAAGATAGGCCATCAGTGGCCTATTTTATTTAGGACTGAGGACCCTTTGGGAGATCTCACTCTGAAGAAAGACCAAGCCAAACCAGGTGCTGCAGGCTGGGCACAGACCCAGTGGAGCAGCCACTGCTAGAGGGAGCAGATTTGTGAGTCCACATGTGACCACTCTGGGAGCCCCCAGATACACCATGGGGTGAGGACTTGAGGGCTGGGCATCCTGGGATCCCTGGGGAGTGCTCTTGTAATGCTTGCTGCTGCACCCAGCCCACATGGTCAGAGTGGTCCTCTGTATGGTTCTGTGTAGCTTAAATGCATTTTTATTTTCACATTCAGAGATTTTGCTAATCCTCTAGGCCCAAGGCTCCTTTTCCTTCTCTGACCCAGACCCACCAAGGCACCAGCACACTTCCCAGGGGAGCCCAGTCTCCTCTGACCTCAGGTAAGAAGCCCTTGGCTGCTCCTCTGAGGGGCTTGAGGTTCTACCAGTTCAGAAGCTGCCATTCACGAGGTGCCCCGCACACAGCATACATGGTGTACTCCTGCACATGCATGGGCTGCCCTCACGTACTTGTCCTGTCCATTGGGTATGGCAGGGGACAGCCAGACACCCGGATCCCAGAGCAAGCCGGCAGGGTTGGTGTGTCCAGGAGCGCTCACTTCCAGTCACACCCACGGTCCACTTATATCCACATAAAACTTTCCACTCTGTCCTCAGACACCTGCATAGACAACTATATTGTGGATGTTCACTCTACAGACACCATGCAGCTGGTGCACCACCTCAGACGCAGGCTGTCAGGACAGAGCACATACCCTCAGCAGAGGGGACTTCTTTCCTGTTTTCTTCTGTCCTCTCCTGTTCCTTCTTACCTGCTTCCTTCCTTCTCCGACTCCCAGAATCTGGAGAGACATGGGGGTGGTGGAGAGGGGCCAGAGTTAGGGGGTTAGGGGAGGTGATGTGACTCAGGAGGACAGACCTGGAGGTATGAGCAGATTCGAGGGAGGACTCCCGTTTCCTGCATAGCTACCATCCTGCTGGCCTTGTTCCTGAGGCATAACAAGATCTCACTAAGGAAGACCAGGCCAAGTGCTTCAGGCTACAAACCTGCTCAACACAGCAGGGCCCAGGTGAGCCCTCAAGACGCTTTCGTGCAGTACTGGTTTCCCGAGGTGGTGTCTGGGCCTTGCAGCGGGGAGAGCAGAACCTCTCCCATCTGTCTGTCATAGCACTGTGTGACATGACCTGTAAGTGTCATCACTTCCACTTCCCTGAGGAGAACATTCTGATGTAGATATATAGGCCCAGGTTCTGGGCAGCCAGTGACTACTTGGGTAGCACCATGCAAGAGTTGTACCTTCTGTGTGCCTCATGGCTTCACCTGTGAAAGCAAGGCTGCCTGTGGGTATCTGCAAGGGACACCCTGAGACAGAAAATAAGTCCTACTTGTCAAGAGCCTGGACAATGGAAGCTGTGTCCCTCCTGGGGTCCCAAGAGAGGCGCCACAGGGGCCTCATGCTGTCTATTCCAGCCATCCTTGTTCCCCTCCCATCCCAAACCTTTCTCCTGCCCTTTCCACCCGTCTCCATAATCCCTCCTGTTCACATCTGTCATCTCTCTCACTCCACAGTTCTTGGGGGTCTGAGAGGGTGGAGGGGGCTGCTACCACCTACCCGGCCTCCAACTTCCAAGGTTTTCCTGTGAAAACCTAAGGGGAGGACGAGCCATTTCCTCTGGAGGCCTGCAGACTGACCTGTGTGCAGTAATGCTATGGTAGGGGGTGGGCAAGAGCTCCCACTGGGGCTGGTGGAAGCCCTTCAGAGCCCACTCCGTCTGGACACAGACCAGGTGTTCATCAGTCCAGATGTCCAGCAGGTGTGGCTCTTTCTACGAGAAGTGTTCTCTTCTCCACCAACCCACTCTGTTTTGTGACCCCACTCATGATATACTCTCCTTCCTCAGTTTCTAGAGCTATGGAACAGCACATCTGGCCAGGATAGAGACCAATGCCCACCAGCTTGCTATTCCATTGTCATGTACCCCAGGGCCCAAGCTTGGGAGCTGCTCAGCTTCAGTGACACAGCTTGTAGCTTAACTCAGTACAAGATGGGTATTTTTGGCTTTTTGCTAATAGAGGAGTCAAGAAATGTCCCCTTTGAAGGAACTGCATGTCATCATGGTCATTACCCCTCACCCCAGACTCTGATCAGACTGAGTGTCTTTTCTTTGTGAGTTACAAACACTCCCAGAGGACTCCTGCACAATCACTCAGGTTCTCCATCATCTTAAGCAGGGGGGGAAATGGGGGCGGGCAGAAGCACATGGCCTAAACAGACTGCCTGCACCAGCACCTGGGCCTCACCTGGGCTCCCAGCTCCGTGACTTACTTGCCTGCAGATGCCACTCCTGGACACCTTCCTCCTGGTGCACTCTGCAGGAAGGGGTGGTCTGATGGGCACCTGTGAATGTGGGACAGTGTCACTGGGACCACAGCGCTATACAAGCATGTTTACTAATTCCTACCTGTTCTCACTGGGATTTTAAGGGGCAGGAGCAAATGATTTTTTGAGGGAGGAATGTAAAGAAAAAGAATAAAGATGCCTCCTGCCTTGCAGCACACAGATAAGCATGGTGAGTTAGATAATTTCTGCACATCTCATGCAGTAACTGAACACTGCCTGATGATGGCAAAGATGGTGACTGATTCTGCTTTCACCTTTGCAAGAGAAATGTGCTTAAATCCCTCGTTAGCATCTAGTTCATCTGATCAAACCAAATTCTTCCCTCCAGAGAGCAAGGGAACATTTGTGTGGCAGGACTACAGGGAGGCCTAGGGAATGTATGATAAAACCTAGGAAGAAACAAAGCCACACTATCATCAGTTTGCCTAGTCCTAGTTTTAGACACCTTTTTCTTTGCATGTAGATGAAGAAACTGGCTGAGAGAAGTATCTCCATGTCTGGGGTAACGCAGAAAGCTCCCAGATCTCTCCCTCAGGCACAAAGATGTACGCACAGAGCCTCCCCTAGACATGCAGTGACCCCCACATGCACAGACACCAGAGTGTTTCCCTGAGGACTTCAAAGGAAACATCCCTGTCAGAAAGCAAATGAGATGGTATAAGACCTCTGCTGGGCTGAGTGTCCCAGGGATGCTGTTGAGAAAGTATGGCCTGCTCTGGAGCTCCTGGGAGCTGGGCCTGGTGGAGGCTGGCCACGGTAGAGGTAGACCCAGAGTCCCCAGAATACACCTTGAGGGGGGCTAGAGGAGACAGCAGGACCCTTCTTCCCTAGACCACCTACCTTGCTTGTCTGCCCTGCTTGCTCAGGACATGGGTATCTTCACACCATGCACTGGGAGACCCAGCAGGGCCCCAGGCCATGCAGTCCAAGTCCTTAGTTTACCTGTGGAGAAACAGGCTCAGACATGGACAGAACACTCACTGGTCACATAGCAAAAGTGGCCTCAGGGCCCAGGTCATGAACACCTTCTGCAGTTGTGGGCACAAGGCCATCAGAAAGGGGAACACCCTGTTTCCTCCAGACTCCAGTTTTTTCACTGTGGGAAGTCAAGGCAGTAACTCTAAGAAGATCAACAATCACTGGGGACAGAACCTGGCATCTCAGGTCTGCTGTGGATATCCTTTGTGAATCTGGGCCTCTGGTTCCTGGTCAGTGCAGGGTGGGAGCTGTCCCAGGGCTCTGCAGGGCCCTTCCTGCCCCAATGGCCCTGATGTTTTCCTCCCTGCCTGCAGGTTTATCACTGTCCAGAGCAGGACCATCTGCTCAGACCCCAAGGATGAGAGGGTGAAGAAGGCAATAGCCTGCAAAGCCTCACAAAGTCACAGGAGAATTCCTGGTAGCCTGTGCCCCTGGCATTCACTACCCCACCCAGGGTCGCCTGGCTCCAGAAACAAGGAGCAGGCTCATGACCTGAAACCCCCATCCCTGTACCAAAGTGCGTTGCAGCTGGAGCCTGGGGTGGGGGTCTTCCCCTTCAGTCTGCAGCAGTGTATCTCCCTGTGGTGTAGGGCACACTCCCACCCCAGCCCATAACCCAGAGAACATCTAGGCCCACCCTGCCCTTCAGGAGGGGAGCCTCAAGCTTGGAGGAAAACATGTTGCCAAGAGACTGGAGGGTGGGGTGCAGAGGAGTCCAGCAGAGGCCCAGGAGGCCTGGCCAAGCAGGGTGCTGGAGCCACCTGCAGTTTCCTGCAGGTTGGTGAGCATCTTCAGTGGGAGGGACTTTCCTTGTCCTCTCTCCCCTAAGCTCCCCCACTCCCAGCATGCCCCTACTTTGGTCTGTTATTCTCTGGCCTTACCCAGACCAAGGACAACTTTTCCCCTACACATTGCATGCCAGCTTGTTCACTGCCCCTCCTGCAGGGGCGCTTGACCAATTCCTGGGAAACCCTGGAGGGGCTTCCTTGGCCTTCTCAGCAGGGGGCGCCCCTGCTTGGGGCAGGGCAGGGTTCTCGCAGACCCTTCTAGCTCCCTGTCCCAATCAAATGGCCCTCAGCACCGTCTGCACCTCCAGGGGCCTCCGCTTGCTCGGCAGCCTCTGGCCCGAACCTCCCGCCTGCAAGTGGCTGCCATCTTCCGGAAGTGTGGCTCCCACCCCCTGTGAGCCACCGAAATCCCACCCTCCTCGCGCGGGCCCTTCCTCCTGGAAGCCTTCCCGGACTGCGCAGCAGGCAGCGAGCCTCTCTGCTCTCCTGCCTCCAGCCCACGAGCTGCCCACGGTAAGCGGCGCTCGGCCTTCGCCCCGCGCGTCCATCCGCCCGGATTCCGGCCCACGTGCTGCGGATGCGCCGCGGGAGCTGGGCGCGGCCCGGCAACCACTGGCCTGACCGGCTCCGGCCGGCCCAAGGCGGCGTGGCTGAGCCTGGGCGGGGACCTCGCCCTGCGCAGAGCAGAGGAGGCGTCAGCGCCCTTCCTCTGCCCTCGCCGATGCCCCCTCCCGGGCGGGGGTCGAGGGGAACGGGCGCAGACGCCTGCAGGTTCCCGGCCACGCGAAGTCCAAGGAGGCGCCTTCCACAGCGGCCCCAGGCACCGAGCTCCTGGTGCAGTAATTTGCCGTGGGTCGCGGATCTCAGGTGATGGCAGAGACGCAGGCTGGGAGGGGCCCCTGACCTAACAGAGACCCGCAGTTTGTCCCTGCAGCCTATTAAATGAAGCAGGAGCCGAATTAAGCTGGTGAAGGGGTGCGTGTCTGCAGCCGGGCTGCGGGACAGGCTGAGGCAGGAGGTTTGTGAGTGTAAGGCCACTCTGGGCAACTTCATGAGACCTTGTTTCGAAAGAGAATAGAAGGGGCTGGGAATGTATTGAGGGTCTGGGTTCAACCCCCAGCAGTGAGGGACGAAGTGAGCGAAGCCTTGCCCATAGTGAAATCACGTGCCGACCAGGAGCACGTAAATAGATACAGCTGCTGTTGAGCACAGGGGTGAAGAGCGATGCTGGAGGGCACCTGGGAGTGGTCAGGCCTCCGCGTCCCCCAGAAGGTGAACGGTGGGTTCTGGACAGAAATCTGAATGCAGAATTAGGAACCAAGAATTAAGCAGCGGGCCCAGGGGTGTGAGGTGTGTGTGTGGGAGGAGAGGGGACTCTGTGGCTCTGTGGCTCCTGAGAAAGGGACTCGAGGGACCCCGAGAATTAGTGGCGCCCCCTGAAGGAGAGGCTCGGTGAACAGAGAGGAGGAGCTTGGCCCAGCATGGCTGCACCTCGCCCTTCCCTCATCCTAAACTCAGCCATGCCACCTCCCGTTGGCAGGCCTCGCAGGGCTCACTGATCGGTCAGGGATCCCCGATTCAGTGACTGAAGTCTAATCCTTACCACACTGTGTCCCCAACTTGGAGCTGCGGGTGATCTGAGCCAGCTGGGTCGGCACCTTGTGCATAGCACCTCGTGGAGTGGGCAAAGGCAGTGTGTCAGTAAAGGGAGAGCTGTGTCCTGCTTCTGGATGTGTCGCTTGTACAGCTCCATCAGCACCCGGTGTCCAGGGGTAGTTTCGGGGCAGTGTGCAGAAAGGGTGCAGGGGCGAGAAGAGGAGCGTGAGTAACCCAAGTGACCAGGCTAGTAGGAGCACCATTTCACAGGTGGAAATTAGAGCTGGGCTGCTCTCCTATTTCCACCAGAGGGCGCACCAGCCCTAAAGAAAGATCTGGAAGCTGATGGATGTTCTGGCTGGAGGCTTGGACTGGACTCTAGGTTTGCCCACCGTAGCTGCCCTTTGGGTAGGGGTGTGAGCCGTTGCTTCGCTCGCCTGTAAGGGAGCCCCAGGCTGCACTGCGTGGAATGCTGTTGGGACTTGCAGGGCCTCTAATTCGTGACCTGGCTTTACCGATATTGTTTCTTATGTAAAATACATGAGACATGGATTGTACCATTTTACCTAGAGTATATGATTCGATGACATTAGGCATAGGGCCAGGGAGATGGCTCAGTAGAATAAGCACTTACCTGGCAAGCACAAGGGCCTGAGTTCAACCCCTGGTTCCG